GGGCCCGAAGTGACAATTCAGCAATTTCGGGGGCCTGGAGCGGGATGGGATTCCTCAGCAGCGCAGGGAGAGCTGCGCAGAAGGACAATGCTGCTGCTGCTCCAGCACTAATTAGGGGATAATTGGGCTGCTGAGGTGCCCTCAGTCGGATGGATGGAGAGGGAAAAGCAGGCAAGGGGACAAAGGAACCTCCCCGGAGGCTCTCGGCCGCGTTGGGTTTGCTCAGCGCCCGGCATCGGGACACAGTTCCACAAATAACAATCAACACAAACAACGCGTTTATTTACACGTTAATTTCTGTGTAAATAAACACCGAAACAGGCAAACAGAGACGGGCACAGCTGGTGATCGCCCCAGCACGAAAATGAGAGCTCCTCTCTCATTTCCAGTCTGAGATACTCGCCCTTGGCAAATCACAGCTCCTCCCTCTAAACCCAGTTTAGTTTTACTTTTGTTGGAGGCTGTGAGGAGGCAGAGACCCCGAGAATGTGTTTTTCTGGTGGGACAGGGAAGTTTCTTCCTGTGGGTAAAAGCAGCCAGGGCCACGCACCGAACATCGCTGGGGTTCGCTCCCACCACTGATTACGTTCTTAATAAATAAGTTACTAATTGCGCCTGAGGAGGATGTGCTGCCCCCGAGCACAGGAAGTTCGAGCTCGATCTAAACCCAGACTTTGGCTGGCTAAAAACGAGCCTGACACTGTGAGGAGGAGGAAGAGGAGGAGGAGGAGGGGATGGAGCGGCTCCAGCCCAGCCCGGGCAGCGCTGGGGCCGGGCCGGGCTCAGGTTTCACCCCCAGTTGGTTTTCCCGGAGGGGATCGGAGCCGGGAAGCCCAGCAGGGACGTCCAGGGTTCATTTTCTGTGGATATTAATTTTCTGTGGTATTCATTTTCTGTCGATATATTCATTTCCTGTGGATATATTCATTTCCTGTGGATATGTTCATTTTCTGGGCTCGTGGAGGCACAGCACCCAGGCGCTGCACGGCTCAGGAGTCACCCACCAGTAAACAGAAAGAATAAAACCCCCCAAAAGTGAGAGATAAAACAGCAGCAGCTCTGTGGTTCCAGCAAATCCCCCTCGGTTTTTCTTCCTTTTCAGCTCACAGAGAGCAGATCGTGCTCCAGCATGGGCTGCCCGGGCATTGCTGCGTGTAAACACCCAACAAAACTCATTTTTTGTGCCCCCCAAAGAGGGAAGTCCCACACAGCCGCGGGATTCCCATCTCTGCCGTTTCTTGGTGCATGTCCCTATTTTACAATTCATTACTCTCCTAGCAGAATAGCCGAATAAAGAACACTTTGAAAATTACATTTCCCCGACCAAGCTGCATTTCAGTCCCCTTGGGGATCCAATCTACGGAAAAAGATGGGGAGGCAAACCCCAAACCAGCTTTTTGCCAGCCTCTTTCAAGCAATGCGAGTCCATGAAGCAGATTCACAGCCCGCAGCACACAGACACCGCGCATCCCCCGGGAGAGGAGCGGGTTTTCCACAACAAACGCTGCCCCGCAGCCCTCCAGCAGTTCGCACCATTTCCCGGGACAGCAGCAGAGCATCGGGAAGAGCACAAACCCCCCGAGCTCCGCAAACCCCGCCGGTAAAACCGGCCACGAACTCCTCAGCGAACTCCTGCCGCAGCGCAGCCCCCGCCAGGAGCCTCGCTGTTCCCCCCGCGTTTTCCGCCCCACAAAACCATCCTGCCTTCCTCCGGGGGAAGCTCGGGGACGTGGCTTTACCTCGGTGAAGCCCTCCTGAAGGATATCCAGCAGATTCCCCCTGGCCAGGCAGGCGAGCATCGTCCCGGGGGGGGCTCAGGGGCTGCGGGGCCGCGCTGCCGGCGCCTCGGGGCTGCTCTCCCTCCTCTTCCTCGCGAGCACAAAGGCCGGCAGCTCACGGGGAAGGGCGCTCATGGTCCCATCTGTGCAGCCCGGGCAGAGTTGAGCCGGAGCGTGGCTCGCTTTGGGCATGCTCGGCGGGAGGAGGGAGCGAGCGGGCAGGGATGTCACTGGGTTGTCACGGCAACGCCGCGGCTTTACGAGATGCAGGCGCGGGGGAAAAAAATAAAAAACATCTGAAACCCATTTCCAGCCAAAAGGGGAAAAAAAAATGCTCAAAAAGCCTCCCCGAACCCGCTGTGTAAATGGGATTTTTCAAACCCGCCGTACGCAGCGAGCTCTGGTTGGTGTGGGGGGAGAGAGGAGGAGGAGGAGGAGGAGGAGGAAGGGAGGGAGGTGATGCCTTGCACGGGGAGCAAAGCACCGAGAGAAGATCGTTCTGCAGCCACAGGAAGCTGCAAGGCAGGCCACGAGAGCCGGGAGGTTTGCAGGTTTGAACTTTGCATTTTTCAAGGAAAAAACAAACATTAAAAAACCCCCCAAAACCGGAGAGAAAAAGTTCAAACAATTAAACACAACCCCCACACCAATAAGCGCACCCATCACAGAAATAAGTATCGGGTGTCCCCAGGCTGCCTCTCGAAGTTGGTGTCACCTTACAGGAAGTGCCCAGGGGGACAGAAAAAAAGGAAAATCAAAGTGGAACGGGTGAAAAGCGCTCCAGGCAGGGCTCTGCCTGGCGGGCACAGGGCGGCACCGACCCCGCTGCCCTCCCAAAATGTCTTGCCAGGCATTTCTAAATGTGAGACGCAATTAAAAACGAACATTTTTCCCCCCCTGCCTAAGTGTTGAAGCATCCCGAGGAATAATCAATGGCGTAATGTCACGATTTTAGCCTGGCACAGCTAAAACACAGAAAGAGAAGCAACAGGTCGCTTCCCTCTGTGACCAGCCCAAAAGGAGGCGGTTCCCTCTCCTCCCGTTTTAAATCATTCACGTTTGCTCTCCCTGCTTTTCATAATTCCGTGGGAGTGGAGATTTTGATGTTTTCATCGGTTCTAATACCACATCTGTTAAGCAAAACAACAGATTACAGCGAGGCTTTGCACAAAGCCTCGTAAGCTGGAGCTGCTGGGGGGTTGGAGCCTTGATCCCGTTTACTTTTGAGCTTCAAAATGCCATTAAATAAATAGTTAACCCCATTTTTTTAATGCAATTGAGTAGCTTATGCTTGTGCAATTCCAATAAAATTCAGTGGGAAAACGAAGTGGTTCCCCCATGAGACAAAAAGCGACCTAATTTTGAAGGAAAAACCAATAAAACACACTCTGAGCTTCCACTGTGGATTTCAAAATGCTCTTCTTCACTAATAATTTACTACATATATTTATATTTATTGCATTATATATATTTACCACCTGCTTTTTACATGGCAAACACACATTCACAGGGGATTTGTAATATGACAAGGAAGGATGCTGAGATTTTTGGGTCGACCCAGAAGAGCTGGGACTGAAGTCTGGGATGCAGGGGCTCCCTTTCATCCCCTCTCCCTCCTGCAGAGCCCCCTCCTGCCCCAACACCAGCCCAGCAAAGGCAAAATGTTCCAAATGTTCTCCTTTTCCCTGCCAGGCTCAGGTACAGCCCAGCTCAGAGGTTTTCTCATCAAAGATTTCCTTCTGCAGGAGTTTTTTTTTTTATCTCTGCCTGAATGCCAGGGAACAGAAACCAGGCTGGACATGCTGAGCCATTCTCCTGTCCATTGTGGGGACACAAATGGGCATGGGGTGGGTGTGTGGGCTAAAAATAACTTTTAAAAATTAAATTGCACTTCTCCCTTTGTGCTTGACTCCCAAGTTTCCAGCTGCTTGTGGCAGGGAAAGTTTTTTTGCTGTCACTTCTGTGCCTCTCAGTGCTGCTTTTGCAAGAAGCCTCTCACTAACAGGAAAAACCTTCAGAATTCTCCCCGAATTTTCAAAAGGAATCCTCTGCCCAGTGACTCCAACCCCCTCGGGGCAGTGACACCCAAAGGATGCCACCAAAGGGTGCCCCAGCAGCTGCCCCTGGGGTGAGAGAGCCCAGCCAGGCGTGGTGGCATTGGGCTGGTGGCACTGGGCTGGTGGCACTGGGCTGGTGGCATTGCCATCTCCTGGCCACTTCCAGCATGACCCCAGCCCTTGTCCTTGCACACTTCTGGTCACTGAATCGGGGTTGGGGGGGTGAAAACAAAGGAGGAATTCCTGGGGCAGGGATTCCTGGGGCAGGGATTCACCCGTGGGGTTTGTGGGGCCGTGACTGCAGCAAGAACCCAAAGAGCTGCCTAAGGCCACTCTGCACTCGTGTCACCGACCCCAAAGTCCTCTGAAGCACCAAAAGGGACAGAAAGGACACCAAAAAGGCTGCTGGGAACTCACAGAGGCTGCAGGAGGCTGAGGGGGGTGGCGGGGCCCCGTGCCCATCAGAGTCCCCATGCTGGATGTCACCTCAGTGCCAAGGGGGGTCCCAGCACTCCTGAACCTGAGGGGAACAGCAAATCCACCAGGGATTGGGATGGGATGGGATGGGATGGGATGGGATGGGATGGGATGGGATGGGATGGGGTCTGGAGCCTGGGGACACCCAGGAGCAGGGCTGGGATGGGCTGTGGGATGGGAATGTGGGGAACAGCAGCAGGAACAGGAGCAGGGCAGTGCTGGGGGCTGAGGAGAGGCTGGGGATGGGGTGGCACGGGGAGAAATGGGGACAGAGAGAGGCTAGGGGTGGGATGGGACGGGACTGGGTGGGGCTGAGGTGAGATGAGGGGGGATGGGGTGAGGTGGGACGGGACGGGACGGGATGGGATGGGATGGGATGGGATGGGATGGGATGGGATGGGATGGGATGCGGTGGGTACGAGGACCCGCACCCCCGGCCCTACCTGCTCCCGGCGCGTCTCCGGTTGCCACGGGAACGGGGGCGGGATGGCGCTGGCTCCGCCCCGGCATCGGGGGCCGGGATCGAGATCGGGATCGGGATCGGGATCGGGATCGGGATCAGGGAAGCCCCTGCCCAGCCCCGCACCGCCGCCCCAGCAGCGGGACCCTCTGTGTGCCCCAGCCCCGCAAAGCCTCGCCCAAAGTGCGGATTTCTCAATTAAAACTGAATATTGCTTCTTTAATGATACACCAGCACTCGTTTGGCACACACGGCAACCGCGGGCAGTACAGGAGATTTTAATATTCAGTGCAAAACAGAGTCCTTCAGGAAAATCTCTACTGCAGAACACGTGGATTCCACAATTCCCCATGGAAAGCCCGGGGAAAATCACCGGAATGGGAGCGTGGAATTGTCTCTAGGATGAGCTGTGCTTCCAGGAACAGCCCCGAGGGTGGTGTGGAAGCCAGAGCTCCTCGGGGAATGGGAGATAAAGAACCATTCCAGGGGCTCGGGCACTCATTAAAACACGTAGGAAAATGGGAAGATTGGTCCTCAAACACTTCCACCTTGGCAAACACAGCAGAGAAAAATAAAGAGCAGCTTTATTTTTCACCACGAGCAGGAACTCCTTCGTGCTTTTCCCACCCTGTTGAGTTATAAACTGCGAAGTTCTGTGTGTTTATAAAAGGAACCATCTCCAAACGTGCCCAGGGCTGCCCCAGAATCTGCTCTGCAGGCCGTGACTGAGGAGCAGAACATGCCAGGCCTTGCTTTAGCGCCTGCAGATGGGGTTTGGGGAGCCCTGGTGCCCTGCCAGTGCTGCCCAGTTTGCACCATTGCTACACTGAATTGTGGACACTATTTCAAATCCAGAAAGAGAGGTGGAGCTGTCAGCCCCACGAGGTGTGTGCTCTGTGTCACCGGGGTTTATAACCAGGGCTGGCAGCACAAAATGGTGGAAAAGTGGAGGCAAAGTGCAAAGTCTTCTCTGCAGCTGCCCAGGGTTCATTCCCAGTATCCCAGGCAGCTGCTGGACTCGGAGAAGTGCCCTAAACAGAGGCAGTGATCTGCAGCTAAACTAAACTGCAATTTCTCCTGGTTTCACTTCCAGTCCCAGCCAGGAGCTCTGTCCTCGCTTGTTTGCACAGGGGAATGAGGATGCACCTCTGAACAGCCCATCAGTGACAGAAATCATTCTGCACCCTCCCAATTCTGCATTTCTGGCTGCCAGGTGCTGTGCCCCTTAGTGCTGAATTCCTGGATTCCCAGAGGCAGCAGCAAAACCTCCCTTCAGTGCTGAACTCCTGGATTCCCAGAGCAGCATTCCCAAGGCTGGAGCTGTGCCCCAGCAGGGATTCTCTGCCTGCAGCCCTGAGCCTCCAGCAGCTCTGGCAGGGCTGGCAGGAGCTGGCTGCCAGCTCCAGGGGCAGCTCTCCCGAGGGGAGCAGGCGTTTTTTCCCAGCACAATCAGAGGGGAATCTCCTCAGTGAGAATGTCTGAGGTGGGACACACACCTCTCCCAACTCCCAGCCGTGCCCACGAGGTTTCCTTGCGCCGACAGCTGCGACCTCCTTTTCCTGCCGAAAGACGAGGACGAGGCCACGGAGTCTTTCAGACCAAGGTCCCGTTTTTGCTGTCGTACTTGAGCCTGGCCCTGGGGAAGTTGAGGGTGGCGTACTCGGTGGCGTTCTGCAGCTGCAGGCTCCTCAGCTCGGCCGCCGAGCGCTGCCCTGCCCTGGAGAACACCTGGATGTCGGCGTAGTGGATGCTGTCCTCCTGCTGCGCGGCCCTGGGCCTGCTCAGCGTGGCATACACAGGCACCTCTGGGACATCTTCACACGTGGGGACAGGGCCTGGCACAGCCTGCTCAGAGAGGGAGAAAATGAGAGAAGTTTTGCCAGAGTCGGCCTGAGGGACTTTAGGGAGTTGAGGGTAAATTATTGTTATTATAAAGGACCTGGAGGTGGTGCTTTCCTACTCGCTGTTTTCTTGTTTTTCTCAAAGATTGTTTAGAAGAAGGGCATTAATTAGCCAAGCAGGTGAAATGGATGAACTAAATGACCAATCAATCTGCCTGGATGGGAACAGCTTATAAAAAGGAGCAGTTCCAAATATAGAGCACGTTATGTCGATCAGCCTGTGGTGAGTCTGTGTCATTTCTTACTCAACAGCGACATGGGGACCTGTGAGGGGGACAAAGCTCTGGGAACTCAGCTCCCCATGCTGCCCCAGCCTCTGGCACCCCTGGCTGCTCCCACCCTGATGGGTTTCTCTTCCTGCCAGCTCTTAGGAGCTCTCAGAGAAACCATCACACCTGAGATAGCCCAGCTACCCCAAACAGCATCAAACCAGCAGGATGGCTTCTGAGGCAGCATTGGAGACAGAACAATTTGGTCACTCCCTCCACAGGGGGCACATTCCTACAGGCAGGGGGCAAAAAATGTGGGAAAAGCCACGGGCACGTGCCCAGGTTAGAGGCTGCCCAGCAGGAGAGGATTCTGGATCCTGCCCCGTGCCCTCCTGGCCCACGGAGCTCAGGGCAGCTCTGTCTCCTCCACCCACGCTCAGGGACTCAGGGAAAACCCTCTGGGCAGTTGTTTACCTTCCTGCCAGGCTGCTGCTGTTGAGCCTCATGCCTCACATTAGCTCCTGCAAAAGAAACAGCAGGAGGTCAGCTTAAACCAGTTTGTTGCTCCACCTTGGGATGCTGTGCGGGCTCTCCCCCTGGGCACAAATCAGATTTCCAACTCATCTGACTCCCTCAGCCCTAGTGTGTCCAAGAAGAAAGCCTGGGCTTGTTTCTTTGGGGAAAATGAGGTTTCCCAGGATGGCAGCATGCTGTGGAGCACGGAGTCCTTGGCAAAGCCACAGACACAGCACAGAGAGTTTCTTGTCAGGCCCTCGGAGGAGTCAGATCCTCTTTAACTTTGTGATTTCCTCTGCTGCCTGGCAAACAAGTTTCGCTCAGCACGGTCCAAAGGCCACAGCACACAGCTTGAGGAATGCCCTTGATGCTGGGAGTGCTGTCAGAGGGATGTTTGCAGCTCCTGCCCTGCTGGAGAGCCCTTGGCTGTGTTTCGAGGAGGGACTGGGTTGTTTTAAAAGCACTGCTGAAGTCCCTTCCTTCCCCAAATTCATGGCACATCACCCTCCTTGCTTTAAGATTTAAAGAAATGCTGCCTCAAGCTTCTCCTGAGGCAGGTTCAGTGCAAAAGGAGCGTGGGAGGGGAGCTCAGCCTCAGGCTGGGCACGGATGTCACCTCCCCAGGGGCTCTGTCACTCACAGCGCTGTCACCCACCCTTACCTTGCTTCTCCTTCTTCCTCTTGAAAGGTGAAGGACACTTCCTGCAATCAGAGAGACACATCAGCCCTGAAAAAAGGTCTCCGAATTTTCCACTGCAAGAAAACTGAAAAACAACTTCTAGCTTCAACTGTAATGTACCAACTCTTAGTGATTGGAGAACAGCAACATGAATATGGTAATTACAGTAGTTATGATGGGCTATAGGTAAAAGTCAAGGTATAGATTGGTTCTACTGTATGAAGATGCTCAGCAAAGAAAAGTATAGAATGCATTGTAACCAAAATTAAAGGGTCCCCAGGCTGCCTGCAGCTGGAGCTGACAGCTGTGGGCACAGGCTCTGTTACCCACACCCTGGCCTGCGGTGACATCTTCGGAACAATAAACTGCATTTGGAAGAGCTGCCTGCAGTCCCACATCCCTCATTTCAGCTCTTACAGCAGGCAGAGCCCTGGATGGGCTCAGGGAATGCTGCGTGTCCCACAGGCTGAGCCCTGGCACAGAGCAGTGCCCCGGGCAGGGCTGTGCCTGTGCCAGCTCTCCCAGGCAGCTCCAGGGGTGTGCAGCCATGCCCTGGCACTGCAGTGGGAAAACAAAAACCCCGGGAATGCGGGCAGGGAGCTCTGGAATGGGCAGTAATGATTAACCAGCCTGGGCAGGCAGAGGCAGTTTGGGCAGGACGGGGTGGCCGAGGATCCAGCGCTGCCACAGGGGCACCTCCTGCCCTCCACGGGCAAAATCCAGGCGGTTCTTCCCAGGAATTTGGGCTTTAACTCACAGCAGCACCCCTTTGTGGAGCTCTCACAGCCTCCTCCTCCTCCTCCTCCTCTGTCTGCAGCGTCTCCTCCTTGCCCAGGTTTGTGTGGAGAGCACTTCCCTTCCTGCCAGCAGCCAGGCAGGGAGGATTCCACCAAACCAGCACGTTTTGGGACATTTCCCTTCCTGCCAGCAGGATTCCACCAAACCAGCACCTTTGGGGCATTTCCCTGCCCCCATTTCCCTTCTTCCATTTCCCTTCAGCAGCCAAACATGAAGTATTTCACCAAACCAGCAACTTTTGGGACATTTCCCTTCCTCCATTTCCCTTCAGCAGCCAGACGTGAAGTATTTCACCAAACCAGCACTTTTTGGGGCATTTCTCTTCCTGTCAGCACTCAGGAATGGAGGGTTTCACCAAACCAGCACCTTTTGGGGCAGCAGCAGCAGGGTCCCTCCCCTCTCTGGGCAGACCTTCCAGGCTGCCTCCCTCGGTGCAGGGAACACTGCAGGCAGTGTGTGGGCTGCAGCTATTCCTGTCTGCAGGATAATCACAGCCAGGCATCTCCCCGGGAATGGGGACACGTGTGGCTCGGGGAATGGGAGCAGGGAAGCCTCTCCCCTGCTCTCCAAAGCGGGTCAGGCAGCTAGAGCTCCCAGGCTGAGAGGATTCTCCAGGGCAGCAGGCACAGCCCCGCTCCTGCACTGCTGCCTGACTCTCCCCGTGCCCAGGCCAGGCTGATTCCTGCCCCACACAATCCTGGGGCCTGGATTTGGGCAGCTTGCCCTGTCTGTGCCACTCTAGTGCCACTTGGATGGTGAGAGCCTGGGCTTGCCCTGCACGGGGCAGAGGAGCCGGACCCGAGGGCACAATTCCTTCATCAATGACTTCCCAGACAGAATCGATTTGCTGTGACAGCTTTTCCTTACAGACCTCAGACTGTGCCCCGGGCATCCCCTGATCGAGCCCTTGCCTGCTGATGCCCTGGGTGCCTCATTTACCCCCTGCCACAGGGCAGAGGAAATAAAAATGGGAGTTTTGGTGGTGGCCAGCTTTCCACCTCCCACCTTCAACTCCTGTTCCGAAATCCCAAACTCCTCGAGGCTCAGGGCTTGGAAGAAGCTCTCTGTCCTCAGCTCCTGAGCCTTCCTCCACTAGGTGATGCTGTGCCTCTCGGAATTATTAACCACCGGATGAATTTCTCGTACTTTGAACAAACGCAGCGTCGGAGAGAGAACGCCCTGGGAGCTTGGTCTGAAATTCACGGCTCTTCCCCTGGCAGAGCTGAAAATATTCCCACTTGGCAGCGAGTGCTGCCCTTTCTCTGCGAGCAGGAGGTGCAGGGCACAGCAGGAGCCAGGAGGGATTAAAGTGCCACCCTCCCTGCCAGGGAGAAAGAGCCACAGCATCTCAACAACGTGGATTTCCCGAGCAGAAATAAACCCGGACAGGGAGAGGGGCTGGGACAGCTGCGGGCAGGACGGGGTGGCTGAACCCCTCAAAGGGACACCTTATGGAGCTCTGGCATGAGCAGAGAGATTTGAGGACAGCGATTTGAGGACAGGGATTTGGGATTTCCCCAGCTCCTTGCCAGCTGCTGGGCGGCTGCATCACCCCAAGCTGCCCCTCCCGCCCGGGCTGGGATGTGACAAACCCCCCTTGTCCCAGGGACCCCTCAAAGGGACACCTTATGGGAGCTGTGGCATGGGCACAGCGATTGAGGACAGCGATTTGCCATGTCCCCAGCTCCTTCCCAGCTGCACCACCCCAAGCCGCCCCTCCTGGGCTGGGATGTGACAAACCCCCCTCGTCGCGGTGTCGCCGTGCCCCGGGCACCTGCAGAGCTCTGCTGCCGTGCCCAGCTGTGCCCGGCGGGCAGGGACAGGGCTCAGAGCCCCGGCCAGCCCAGCAGAAGGGCGCGGAGCTCCCGCATCCTCCCGGATCCCGCCGCTGCCCGGTGCCCGGTGCCCGGTGCCCGGTGCCCGGTGCCCGGCCCGCACTCACCAGCGCCAGCCGCAGCCGCACAGGTTGCCCATGTCGCTCCCTCCTTCCCCGCCGATCCCGAGCTCTCCGGGCAGGCTCAGCTTGTATTTCCTGGTTCCTGCTCGGCCCCTGGCTCTCGGGGAGTGTCTGCCAGTGTCGGGTTTCGGAGCGCTGGCCCCGTGTGCCATCTACCGGAGCTGTCCCCGCTGCCGTGTCCCCTGCGGCCAAAACTCGCCTTTGTCACCCGTCCCTCCGCTGTCCCTCTGTCCCCGCAAAAGGGGACGGAGGAGGGACTTCAGACAAAAGGAGAAGCCCCAGGGTGGGAGCTCGGTGCTGTTCCCGCTGCCCATCCTCGCACCCCGGGGAAAGCTGTGCCAGGTGTGGCACACCTGGGAACCAGAGGATTTCCTGCAGTTCTTTTCTCAGTGAGGTCTGCTGCCGCTGCCCCACGGCCTCAGGGACGGTGGAAATCCACTTTCTTTCAAGCTAGCTGGGTAAAAGGGTTCAGTTCTGTGCCTTTGAGAGTGCAGGGTCCCAGGAGAGCCCCCACAGCCTCAAGGAGCTGCAGAGCAGCTCTCAGCTCAGCCCCAGTGGGTCAGATGGGAACAGGGACCTGCATTTCACCTCTGTGCCCCGGGTGAGACCCCTCAGAGTGGCCAGCCTGAGTGACCAGAGCCCTGGTCACTGCTGCACCTAAGGATTGGGTAATTCCTGGGACCTTGTCCCAGGCAGGTCTAAGAGAACAGATCCTCCTGAAAGATATCATTTAAATGTCATTCTCGAGCAGCAACTCTGCCCACAGCTCTGACCTGGCAGCCAGCCCTGGTTCTGAACAGGTCTGATCCCTCCAGGGGTGTCCAACAACAGAGTGAGCATTAATTCACATTTCTGTGGCAGGAGCTGGCTCTGCTTCCTACTCCAGGTGTACCCACGCTCTCAGCCAGGCTCACAGCCCCAGCTACCCCCTGCCCCAGGGCACAGCAAGGCTTGGACCTGCCCAGGAGTGGCAGAAGGAGCAGGATTCTGCTTTGGAAGGGTCACAGCTGGCTCTGGGTGAGCAGCACTGTGACCTGCCTTGCTCTGATACTGCTCCTCAGCTTGGGGCTGGAGAAACGCCACAGAATTTAGGATGAGATCTGTGCAGACAGCTGGGATTCTGTGTTCTCAGGCTGCTGCAGAGTCCAGGTGCTCCCAGGAGCCCGTCCCTGCCTGGGAAGCTGCAGACTCTGTGTCTCTGTCTCTGTTGTTTTAATGAGCCAGCGTCTGTTGTGATTTCTGGGATAACTCGGGCTTTGTTGCTTTGTGGGGAAGGAGCAAAAAAAACCGGCTGGGAGCCTGTTCCCATCAGCCTCTCCCACAAACACTGGAGCTGCCGCTTTGAGCTCCAGCAGAGAAACAGAAAAGCATCACAAACACTGGCGGGGCCGGCAGCGCTTGGCTGCCACCCCGCATTCCCTGCCGGCGGTGTCTGCGGGGATGGGAGCGGGGACAGCCTGTCCTGCAGGGGACAGCGGGGACAGCCCTGCCCGCCCCGGGCACTGCCAGCCCCTGTCCTGCTTCGTGACACAGCTGTGACACCGGCACGGCACAAGAGCCCGGAGGGGAGAATGAGCAGGGGACAGCAAAACCAGGGCCAGGGGACAGCAAAACCAGGGCGAGGGGAATGAACAGGGGACAGCAAAACCAGGGCCAGGGGAATGAAGCGGGACAGGAAAACCAGGGCCAGGGGAGAGCAAAACCAGGGCCAGGGGATTGAAGAGGGACAGGAAAAAGAGGGCCAGGGGAATGAACAGGGGAGAGCAAAACCAGGGCCAGGGGATTGAACAGGGGACAGCAAAACCAGGGCCAGGGGACAGCAAAACCAGGGCCAGGGGATTGAAGAGGGGAGAGTAAAATCAGGGCCAAAGCACAGAATTGGATAGTCACTACTAATTCTGGGCATTTTTATGGCAAGAGGTCCCTCAGGCACCAGGACACGTGTGGTGCAGCACACAGGGCTGGCATGGTCTATCAGAAATGCAGAGGAGAGCTCTGTGCTGGTCTGGGCACTCCTTTTGTCTCAGAATCCTCTCCCAGGGCAGCCCCAGAGCTGTTTCAGCCCCCGGAGCTGCTGAGCAGGCACAGATGGCACCTGATGGTCCAGGCTGTGCCACGTGTGCCAGGCTGTGTGGGTGCTCTCCTTGCCCATCACCTGCTGGCCATCCCCCATCCCCAGCCAGGGCAGGAGCTCGTCCCCATCACAGGAAACCTGCAGGGAGCAAAGGGAAGCACTTTTGCCAGAGCAGGGGCAGAGAGAAGCCTTTTTGAGCTGCTAACAGAGTGTGTCTGCGGGTCTGAGGAAGATTTTAGGAGGGGAGTGAGGAAATGGTGGCCATGCCTGAGCCCACACACACCCCTGGGGCTCTGCTCCCACCACGGGGCTCAGGAGCTCAGCCCTCCTCATCTGGGGTCTGGGTGAAAGGTGATTCAAAGCCCCAAGCCCAGAATTAAGCTGGGATTATTATTAATGACTTAGACAACGCCCGTTGGAAAGGTGATTTTTTATTTTGACAGTTTATCTGGTTCTACTCCAGGGGCCAGGGCAGGAGGTTGGGCACTGAGGGCACGGGCACTGAGGGCAGCGGCTCTGCCTCGCTGTGCCCCCTGAGCCTGGCAGGCAGGGCTGCTCCTCATCTGACTGATCCCCAGGGCAGAGAGCTGAAAATAGCTGGGCAGCGCCCTGCTCTGCATCCCACTGGGCCTGGCAGGGGGCAAAAATCAGCCTGATATCCGTGTTCCAGTCCCGAGGGATGTTTTGGGCAGGGCCTGAGGGGGCATTGCTGCCCCGGGGTGGGCAGAGCCACAGGGAGTGAGGGAAGTCACATCCCCCAGGATTTTGGAGCCTCCCCTCCTCTCTGTAGGGAGAGCAGCACCAGGCATGCCAGGCACCCCCAAATTTAGCCACTGACACAGCATTTTGTGTGCCTGGCTTGGCTCTGACGACACAAGGGTGGCAACTGTCACCTGCTGAGCCCTGGGGCCGCCGGGGCGGCAGCTGCCAGCGCAGCACACACGATCCCTGTCCCCACCACGGGGACATTGCTCACGTAGCACCACAGTGTCTGCAAAAGGGGCCGAATTCAGCCCCTCCCTGCCTTCACAGACAGGGCTGGGGCACCAGCCAGGCAGCTGGGGTCTGAGCAGAGCCTTTCCCGTCAGGATTTTGGGTTCAGTCCCCCCACAGAGGGCTGTGTGTGAGGGATGTCCCGCAGCTGAAGGGCTGAGCAGGCACAGGCTGTGCTGGGCGTTCATTTGTGCCCCATTAACTCGGGGTCCTTCCAGCTGCAGCTCTGGAGATGCTCAGGGACCTTCCAAGGGCTCATCACTCCTCTCACCTTTTTGTCCTTGAGGTCACCTCACTCTGGGCTCCCTGAACCAGCAGCTGGGCCAGGGGGGTGGGGCACAGATGTGGCACAGTCCCTCCATGTCCCCACTGGTGCCACTTCCACAGGTGAGCACAGTGCCAGCTGGGCACTGTCCACCCTCCCTGCTGCACAGGAGCAACACGAGTCCAAGGCAAACAAGAGAAGAGCAGAGGCAGATTTATTCCTCTCTCCTCCTGATTGCTGCAGGCACTTTTACAGACCAACACCCACCTTGCACAGCCACGAATCTCAGCCTCCAGCTCAGGAGCCAGGCACTGGGATCCCCTTTTCTCTTCCCAGTGCCTTTCTGGGCTAGAGCTCAGTCCATTGAGACACAGCCTCACAGTTAAGGGTGAGAGCAGAGCTGCCTGCATGCTCACCTGACCTAGGAGAAAACTTGCATTACAGTCACTCACACTCACACTTCAGTCCCACTCTTTTTTCCAGTTCCAAGTCCCTTTTGTTCCCAGCCATCAGCCTCGAGAAGCAGAAGTGTGGCTGCCTCAAGGCCCTGTTAAACACTGATGGTGAGGAACAGGGGTCTGGCACTGCGGATTCCCCATCCCTGTCCCCCCCACCTTCCCAGATCTGCGGCCTTTAGGATTTTTCCTTCTCTTTTCCTTCCTCAGCCTGTTCCTCCTTCCCCACTGGCTGCTCCTGCTGGGTTATCTTCACCTCGTTGACCCTGGCCTTCACCTCCTTGCCCGTCCGGGGAGCCACAATGCTCAGGATGCCATCGTGGGACAGGGTGGCCCTGACCAGCAAGGGATCCACGTCCAGGGGCAGGATGTAGGTCCTGGTGAACTCCCTGGAGATGAAGCCGTGGCGATCAGCCTTCTGCGGGTGCTGCCCCACCACCTCCAGCAGGTTGTCCACGGTGCGGACGCTGAGCTCGTCGGGCAGGAACTGGCAGACGTCCAGGAACACCTGGAACTTGTGCTGGTTCAGGCAGATCTCCGAGGTGCCCCTCTCCAGCTGCTTGTTGATGCGGGGTCGGATGTAGTAGCCGTGGTACAGGGCAGGGGCTAAAATCTCCGACGGGGACACACCTGCAGAGGAGACTCAGTGAGGAGTTTCCCGGCTGGAGCAGCACACAGGAGCAGTTTGGGACCTGGAGAACACCTTGCCTTTGCCACATGCCCACAGCAGGGGTGGAGTCTGCTGCAGTTCCCACCTTTGTGCCCCTAAAACCCACCCAGAGCCACATCCCTGCCAGCTGCTGCCCAGAGCTGCCAGCGAGCCCGGGGCTGGCATCCAGCTTCACATGTTGGGTGCACGGGGAGAGCCTGCTGGGTGCTCTGCGAGCTCTCCACAGCCAGGGATGGGCATGGAAACTGCTGACGGCGAACAACTAAAGGCCTTTTGTGTGCCATTGTCCGCAGGGCTTTCCTTGGAGCTTTTTGCCTTTTCACGCTGTTGTGCTGGTGCTGAATGGTTCTGCTGCTGCCCACATTCCTTCCCCTCGGCCAGCCGCTGCCCAGCTTTGTGCTGAACGCCCCAGCTCAGCTTTTCTCCACATCCCCCCCGGCTGGAAAAGCTTCCCCCCCCTCCCCTGAGCGCTTTTGCTCCATGTTTTCACAGCATGTGCATGAATGCCAGAGCATGGCTGGCACGAGGGAGGGAGGGATGGGCAGCACTGGGCATGGATGGGGAAGTGGACATGAAGAGAGAGACCCTCGCTATTCCCTGGCTATTCCCTGGTCATTCCCTGGCTAGTCCTTGGATATTTTGTTTTTTCCCTGGTTTTTCCCTGTCTATTCCCTGTTTTTTCCTGGCTATTCCCTGGCTGTTCCCCCTTGATTTGATCTGAGTTCCTCCACTCAAAATTCCTTCCCTCTCTGGGGCTCAAGCTCCCCAGAGGGAATTCCACCAGCCCTGCAGCAGCAGAGGGGAGAAAGTTGCAAAGAGGGGGAGATCCCACCTCCTTCCTTACCTTCTCCAAAGTTCTGGTCATAGATCTTGCTGGGGTTGGCAAACTCATACTCAGAGCTCATGGGGTAGGCGTGGGGCACGGTGCGGGCGGCCATGGCGTGTCCAGGACAGACACCTTCCTTCTTTCCTTCCTTCTTTCCTTCTTTCCTTCCTTCCTTCCTTCCTGTCTGCCTTCCTTCCCAGCCCTCACTGCCTCTCCAAGTGAGGGCTGCAGGCTGCAAGGCTCCAGCTGGGTGGATTCCAAAGGGAGGAGTGTGTGAGTGATAAAAAAGAGGGACCAAAATAGCCCCGTGCAGGCCCCAGGACGCCGGGCCAGGGCAGCTTCTCTCTGCATTCCAGCAGGGAGGGCAGGGGACACCTCGGGGACACCTTGGAGACCCCTCCTGGAGCAGAGGGTGATGGGCAGCCAAGCCCAGCCCAACTCAGGGGCTGAGGGGAGCAGGACAGACCCCAGGCTCTGCTGCTCCAAAGCAAGAGGGGCTCGTTGGAGCAGCTCAGGGAGTCCCTGGCACTGGAATTGGTGGCCCTGAGCCCCCGTGGGTGGCTGGGGCCTGTTCAGCCCGTGCAGTGAAGCCACTGCCCACACCCATTGCCCACCCTGAGCTTGGGGCTCAAAGCCCTCCTGTTCCCTCCGTGAGGAGCCTGATCTCCCCAGGAGCTGAGCTCGAGTCTCCTGTTCCTTCAGTGGTGAAGGGCTGCGGGAGGGAAGCAGGGATCCAGGTCCCACTGCTGTCACCTCCCCAGCCTGAACCCTGCCCAGGCTCTTCCCTTGGCCAGGGTTTGGCACAAGGCCATGGAGAAATGCTGGTGCCAGTTAACCCAGGCTCTGAAGCTGGCCTCAATCCAGTTTTACTGAGCAGGGCTGGTGGGCTGCTGGTGCTGCAGCAGGGGAGGAGTGCCCAGCTGAGCCCTGCACACCCTGAAAGCAGAGATTTCCTTGAGCCCTGCAGTGCGGGAGAGCAGGTGCAGTGCTGCTGATGTAATGGGGACTTGGAGAGGGTATTTATGGCCTGGGCTGCTGCACAGAGCAAATCCTGCTCCCTATTCTTGCAGGCAAGCTGAGAGGAAGAGGCTCAGAGCCTTTGGCAAAGAGATGGCAGAGCTGGCAGTGCCTCTGAGGCAGAAATTGTGTTTAGATTGTGAGCTCTCACAGGCAGAGAAGCTGTTGCTCTTCAACAGAAGCTAAGCTGAACCCATTCCTGTGATTTGTGTTCACGGGCAAGGCAGGAATTAAAATAACTGTATGAATTGTTAGGGGGCAAGCTGCAGGAAAGCAGGTTTGTGCAGGGGCAGTGGTGTTCTGCACCCCTGGGTGCAGGTGTAGAGGTGTTCTGCACCCCTGGGTGCAGGGGCAGAGTTTCTGCACCCTAGGGTGCAGGGCAGCACCCTGGAGGCTGAGACTATGCCCAGGTTCTCTCTGGGCTCACAGCGTGGGGCTCTTCCCTCCAGAACAATGTGTTCTGCAGTGGGCAAAAGACAAGAGGTGTTGGTGGAGAGATCCATCCTTTATTCACACCCACCATGAGGGCAGCAGGGCTCGCTGGGCTGCACAGCTGCAGTGCCAGGATCCCAGCAAAGCCCTCCTGGCACCTTCCCTAGCCCTGATTTTGGGGCTCCCTTTGCTGCCGGGACAGGCTCAGCCCTGCTGGGTGATGCTGAGCTCCTGGGAACAAGGACCCCTTGTCCTGCTCCTCCTATCCAAAGATAGGAGCTGCATTGATCCCGCTGGCATCCAGGGCAGCTGGACCACGGGCCAAGCCTGCCCAGGACTGTGGATAAACAGCACGTGGGCAGCAGGGCGGGCACCGGGCCATTCTGCCTTCTTGCTGCCCCATTGGGCTCCTCTTCCTCCTCTCCCCTTCCCCCTCCTCCTCAGCAGCGAGCTCAAATCCCTCAGACAGCTACTGGGCACCGCCGAAGGGCCCAGCCCAGGAGTGGGACAATAAAATCCCTGACACCACTGTTCAAGAGGCCTCGGGGGGGTGGAAGGCCAGGCCAGCTGCGCGGGTATAAAGCCGTCCCCGCTCCCGGCACGGCACTGCAGCACAGTTGTTTGCCAGGCTCCTCCAGCGCTCTCCAATGGATATCACCATCCACAACCCCCTGATCCGCAGACCTTTCTTCTCTTGGTTGGCACCGAGTCGTATCTTTGACCAGATTTTCGGGGAGCACCTGCCCGAGTCGGAGCTGCTCCCTGTTTCCCCCAGCTTCAACCCCTTCCTGATGAGATCCCCCATCCTTCGGATGCCCAGTTGGCTAGAGACAGGACTCTCGGAGGTAATCTTTGCTTCTTTGGGCTCTTGGTGGCTGCTGGGGGCCCAGGAGAGCTGAGAGCTTGGAAGATGCTCCTAGGTGGTTTTTTTTAAGGAAGGAGGCTGGGGGAAAAGGTGCTGTGTTTGCACCTCTGCGTTGTTTGGGATGGAGCAAGTCTGGCCATGGTGATGGGGACAGAGCTCAGTGTGCGTGGCAGATCACCCTAGGAGCAGGCAGAGGAAAGAAGGAAACCTAATGAACCAAATTTCCCTAATTTCTCTAACTTCTCTAATTTCCCAGTCTGCTGCACCAAACTTTCAACCCCACTCCCACCCGAGAAGCGAAGAGCAGAGGGGCAGTGGGGTCCTCATGCCAAGCCGTGCAGGAGCCCATGGCTGCTGAGGGAAAAGGGCCTACTTTAAACAATCACTGCCCTGAAAAGCAGCCTTTTAATAAGATCCAGGACCCAGAGGATCATGGAGCAGGCGCCTCCTTCCTCCAGGGGCTGAGCCAAGAGGCTTTTGCCTGTCCTGCAAGTCACCTGTCTTATTTACAAGGAGCTTGAGGAGCTATTCCAAGCAGAAGGAGTGAAAGTATTATTTTAATCCTCGCATAATGTCCCTCTTGATTTAGTGACCTGGGTCTTGCTGCGCAGTGAAGCAGCCATAATGAAGAGTCAGCTTTAAATCAAGGGTCAGTTTTAACTAATTCAGGTGGAGAATCTCAGGTCCTGCAGTGATGGGCATTAGCACGAGGCCAGCAAGGGACAGAGCCACTCAGATCAGATCCCAAAATAAAGGTCAGTGTGCATGTAGAGACCAGCTTGAGTCTTGACCCACTGCACTGTTTTTTAAGCTGAAACCCTCACCTGCTCTTTCCTGAAGTCACCTCCTTGCTTTTGCTCTTTCCTGAAGTCACCTCCTGGTTTTTGCAGATGCGACTGGACAAGGACAAATTTTATGTGAACCTGGATGTGAAGCATTTCTCCCCTGAGGAGCTGAAGGTGAAGGTGCTCGGGGACATGATCGAGATCCACGGCAAGCACGAGGAGCGCCAGGTAGCCCCTGCTTTAATTCACCTCTGAGGGAGTCACTGGGAACTCCCTCAGCCCTGGTGACTGCAAAACAACCCCCTGCTCTTCTCAAATATTTGTCATTTTTAAAATCAAGATGCTCCATGCAATCCCCCCCAGCTGATCCCAGACAGGGCAGCAAGGGGGTGGAGGTTTATTGCTGATGTTGCATGAACTGTGAACTGAACTGGAAAATCATCTGTGAAATGGGCATTTTTGGGCTTCCCCTCTTTCTGGGAAGAGGCCAGGAATGCAGGGAGGTGTCCAATGAGCTAAAAATTAACTGTAACATTCAAGCCACATAAAAAATCAGTGCATTGCCCTGTGTGTTACCTTTCCTAGGCCCAGCTATCAGTTTCTAATCCTTAAAGTTGTGTTCTGCTGACATTCATCCCTCTCCCTGCTGGCTCTGGAGACCTGTGTGGACACTGGGCAGGCAGAAACACAAAGCCATGCCCAGAGCTGGATGGAACAGCATTTCCCAGTCCCCAAAGTAGCTGTGTCCCTGGAATTGTCACCCCTAGGAGCACAGCGTGTCACCAGGAGGTGCAGTGCTCCTGCAGCACGGGGGGCCTGTAATCCTGACACCATTTCTGGAATCCTTTTTGGCTAAGAAGACAAATCAGGCACTGAGGGTCTCGGGGGCAGGTGTGGCTGGAGAGGCACCTGGGGAATGGCACACAGAGTGCAGGGGAGCCTCTGGCTGGCACGGGGTGGGCACAAAGCCTCCCCCCGGAAACTCTGCAGGCACTGCCCCACTCCGGCTCTTTACATAGGGCAGCTCATCCTCAAAACCCTTTCAACTCCCTGAAAATCTTTCCTTTGAGAGCCCCAACTCCCTCTGAGCAAGACCCCGTGGTTGAGGCGGCACGGGGCGAACCCTCCTTAATTAAAGGGCTGTGTGGTCACGACTTTTCTCCTCCCCTTCGCTCAGGACGAGCACGGCTTCATCGCCAGGGAGTTCAGCAGGAAATACCGGATCCCGGACGACGTGGACCCGCTGACCATCACGTCGTCGCTGTCGCTGGACGGGGTGCTGACCGTCAGCGCTCCCCGCAAGCAGAGCGATGTCCCCGAGCGCAGCATCCCCATCACCCGAGAGGACAAACCGGCCATCGCAGGAGCCCAGAGGAAGTGAGCGCTGCTCTGCTGTCCCCAAAGCCACCCCTGGAGGGCCATTCCAGAGCTCTTTCCTCCGCCAGGTGCCGGCTGTGCTGAACGGCTGCTCGTATTATTTATGCTGAGTAAGTTTACTAACGAATAAAACCATGGAGAAGCAGTTTGGATTGGTTTGTTTTGGGTTGGGTTGAGAAAGGTGGAGAAAAGGTGCAGGGCAACACGGTTTTTGGGTGGCAGGTGTGTCCAGGACAGCTTATCTGGGTGCTCAGAAGCACTTTGCTCATCACACCTTGTGTTCTCTCTCCCTTCAACGCTGCCAGAGGATTTCAGAGTGTTTCACAAGCAACAGGAGAGTTTCTCCCGTGGAGATTAAACTGGTAAAACAGCTCCATGCCAATTGCAACCCATCTGAAGTGTGGGGATTTGATAACAGCTGGCTGCAAGACAACTGTATCTTAAATCTCTCCAATGATTCATGTGATGGAGAAACATCCAGGGGCTGCAGCCAGTTCAGAGCAGCTTCAGGTGAAAACTGCAGGGCTGCAGTAAACACACACATCTCCCCAAAGAGAGGGAAAACATCTTGCTCTGGTGATGCAAATCACATCCCTTTGAAACCCTGCTGTTAGTGCCCTTCAAACACTGAGCAGGATCTGATGTCTACAGCAATAATCTGATTTATGCCAGCATTGCTGAGTGATACAAACCACTACTAAAGTCCTTTTCAGGCATCTTCATCTGCCTAGCACCTCTCTTCAAAGGGGTAGAAAGGCAAG